ATATATATATATATATATATATATATATATATATATGGGCAAAATGTAAACCATAAAAAAGAAAGAAAAGAAAAGAAAAAAACAATACAAGGGGCTACTTTGAGATACCCCCATTTTCTTAATGCATGTCATGTTCTTAACACAATTCCATTAAATTCTAAGCTCTTGATTGAGATATAGCTTGAATTTGTTTATTATGCTAAATTGTAATTAATCCTCATTGTTTTATCAAAACAATAAATAACACCTTTTTAGATTTAAGAAATAAGACAAAGAACTCTTGGTTGAATTTCTTTCAGAAAGACATATTAGAAAGGATTATAATATCCCTCGATTCAACTAAGAATTTCAAACTTATATCTTGTTGATGTCAATATTCTAGCATGTCATTGACTAAATGATACAAAATATGTTAAAAATTGTCAATATTCTACAGCTATCTTCGTTATTTATCCTATTTCTTTTATTTTTCTGACATACACTGATAGAAAAGGAATTTTCAAACCTTGGTGGACAAGACCATTGCCATCAGCATTTCGTGCCGAGATATCTATTTGATGGTTTCGATAACTCTTTGTTATGCAAATTTTTCCCTTGTCCTATTTTTTCATCTCATATTAAAGGCTATAACTTCATATTACAATGATTGATGTTGTTTTTCCCCTTCAAGTTCTATAGCTCAAACATGTCGTATTAGGTTCCAGGTTAACAATTTTATGACTTGTACTATTGTGAAAATGACATTCATCTGAGAATAAGTACGAGCCTTGAGATTATGAAAAGATTCTCGGAGTTGTCAAAAACTACGTAAGAAAATTTTATATGGATATACATAGAAGGGCTACAACAGCTAGTCGAACTGTAAGAAATTTCAAATTCACAACGTTTCCAATCAAATAGACAGTGAACCAGTTACACTGACCTTGGCTTTGTTTCAGATTAGCAGTTTTTATTGTAATTCACTTGGAACAAGCTAGCCTTGACAAGGAGTGTGTTTTACCTTCCTTTCTAACTCCTGATTAAATAGTTTTAAGCTCAAAAAATCATCATAAGCTTTTGATGATCACTTCTAAGTGTTCAAACTAAGACTTGCCTTCACTTTTCTTCATGTTTTTGCTATTTCCTTCATTTGATCCCTATCACAAGTAATGAAATTTCAAATCCTAAGATCCTAAACCTAACAAAGCTTGGTAGGTTGTCTTCGTACATAAACGCAACTAAGAAGCAACGAAATGATGTAGGAATGACAGAGTTCCTAAATGAACAAAATTTACTAGTCCACCAATATTTGATGGGTTTTCCATTCAAATAATCATCATAAGCAAACCTATTTTAGTTGTACCCTAAATCATTTTTTTTTTTGTAGCAAACTGAGGTATACAACACAAAATCTATATCTTGATAAAAATATAATTTTTATTTTTATTATGTCGATTAGTTAATTTCCAAAATGTTGTAGAACTACTCTGTGTTGAAGTCCTTCACGGCTAAGGAAGTAACAACTAGAGCCAAGTTGGAGCTAGGTGGCTGAAACTTCTTGAAGCTTATAGAGTTAGCTGGGTATATTGCTTCACAAGGAAGAATTGCTTATTAGGTGACTGCTCACTATGGCGGTTAACTTGTGGCGGTAATTTGCCTATATAAAGGTATAAATTTTAACATCCCATGTATTGAGAATGAGAAAGAATATGAGATAAAAAAATTGAGTTTATGAGAGAGATCCGACAGAGAGATTTGAGAGTTTGTATGTAATCATTACACTTTTTAAGTAATTCCAATTTGCTCATCTTTTTCTCTAAAGTTTACATTTTATACTTCCTAGTTTGCTTTGTTTACACTTTGCACCTCAATAATTGTGGTATCAGAGCCAAAGTTTCAAATCTCCTCAAAGCCTTTCCAAACAAACCTCTACGATGAAAACTAACACTTCCACGTTCAATTATGCACAAGCCCTCATTCCAATTTTTGAGGGTGAGAATTATGGGTATTGGAGCATCCAATTGAAGACCTTATTTATCTCACAAGAGTTGTGGGATATAGTTGAAGCTAGATTTACAGCACCAGCAAATGACGAAGAATTTACAACATGACAAGATGCATATTAGAAAAAATACAAGGAGAACAAAAAGAAAGATGCAACAACACTTCTTAATATTCAAGGAGGGGTTAACAAAACTATTTTTCCAAGAATATTGGGTGCAAAAACATCAAGGAAACCTGGGAGATATTGAAGATCGAGTATCAAGGATTTTATAAGGTAATCTCTATCAAGCTCCAAACTTTATAGCGAGATTTTTATAATCTAGTAATGAAGGAAAATGAATCTATACAAGAATTATTTTCCCAATTTGCTAGAACTGTTAATCAAATTAGAAGTTACGGAGATAGCATTCCATACAAGAAGATTGTTGAAAAAGTCCTACGGAGTTTATCTGCTGCAAGATTTGAGCATATTGTAGCAGCAATTGAGGAAGCCAAGGATTTATCAAAATTATCTTGACATGAATTAATGAGTTCTCTAGAAGCACACGAAAAATGGATGAGTATATTCACAAATTAGTCTTTGGAACAAGCATTCTATTCCAAAGTCAATATTGCAGAATCAAGCAATTCAAAAATGGACCAAGAAAATCAAGGTGGGGGCAAATTTCAAAAAGGAGGCCAGTATGGAAGAGGTCGTGGAAGAAAATATTCATTTTAAGCCCGAGGCAAAGGAAGAGCCTACACCAATCAAAGAAATTCTGATGGTAATTTTGATTCTCAATGTATTATTTGCAAAAGATTTAGCAATATTGCCAAAGATTGCAGATTTAGATGCAAGAACTGCAATGTATCAAATCATTCCCAACGAGATTGTTGGTTCAGCCGTAACAAGGCAAATTATTCAAAAGCAAATGAAGGAGATATCATGCTCACTTGTATGAATATTCAACAAGAGTTAGAAAATACGTGGCATTTGAATAGCGGATACAGTACTCATATGACCAGAAACCAAATGATGTTTTATAGAGCTGGATGCAAAAGTTTCATCTCAAGTAAAACTTGGCGATGGAAAGTTGCAAAACGTCGAATACAAAGTGTCTACACAAAAGGAGGTAACATGAAATTTGTTACTGATGCCCTTTATGTTCTTGGACCGACTCAAAATTTATTGAGTGTTGGGCAATTGCTTCAGAAAGAATATGTAGTTAACTTTGATAATGATGGTTGCATTATTTTTGACAAAAAGAATAGTCAAACGGTGGCAAAGGTTCAAAGGACCCCAAATAAAATTTTTGCTTTTGTTATGCCACTTGATGAAAATCTTGCACTTCAAACTGAAAAAATCAGTGATTCCTATGTATGGCACTTGAGATATGGGGTATTTAAATTATAGAGGCTTGAGGCTGCTGAAAGAAAAAAATAATATGGTGCATGGCCTACCGTATATTGATAGAATTGATAAAGTTTGCGAATGTTGTATTTATGGGAAGATGCATAGTCTACCATTCCCAAAGACATCTTAGCAAGCTAAAACAGCATTGGAATTGGTACGTGTTAATATTTGGGGGTCATGCAGAACACCATCAGTTGCCAACAAAAGATATTTTCTTTTATTTGTTGATGATTATACTCGCATAATGTGGATTTATTTTCTCAAGCAGAAATCAAAGGCCTTCTCCAAATTTCTTAATTTCAAAGTTATGGCAGAATGACATAGTGGTAGAAAATTAAAGGCGCTTAGGACAGCACGTGGCGGACAATTCATCTATACCCCATTCATGAATTATTGCAGGGATAAAGGAATCAGAAGACAACTTACAGTCTGACAATCACCTCAGTAAAATGGTGTGGTAGAAAGAAAAAATCGCACCATCGTGGAAATGGCACGAAACATGCTTAAAGGCAAAGGACTTCCCAGTAATTTATGGGCTGAAGCAATCAACATGGCTATCTATATTCTCAATCGATCTCCTACAAAGGCGGTTCTAAACAAGACACCTTGTCAGGCGTGGTTTCAGCAAAAGTCAAAGGTGGATCTTCTCAAAGTATTTGGATGTATTGCCTATGCCTTAATCCCTTCACAGAAAAGGGAGAAGTTCGATGAAAAGGGCAAGAAATATATATTTATCGTGTATAGCAGCAAGTCTAAAGAATATCGCTTATACAACGTAGATAAAAATGAGCTGGTGATTTCTAAAGATGTCATATTTGATGAGATGAC